TAGGAATCCACTGCTCTGTCTGGATCGGCGAGACCCATCAAGGCCCGCCACTTTTCCACCCCATCCTGAGCCTTCAAGATTAGACAGATAGAAGGTGCCCTTGAAAGAAAAAAATAAAAGGCCATGCGCTTTGATCTCGACGGTCGCTGTAAAAAGGCTCATATTTTACAGATGCAGTTGGATGATGTTTAACAGCGCTTACTATTCAAGGTTTGATTGTGATCTATTTGTGTTGTTCCATATCAATTGCACAAGAGAGGAAGAGGAATCACTTTTTGGCCAGGGAACTTGTTTCGAAGTAAGAAGACAAGTTGTCGGCGACAAAGTCAGGCAGACTTGAACGATCACTCTATGTTTTACTTCAACCGTTAGGTAATAAGGCAGCGATTCCTTATACGGGACACTGTGTGGTCCTCTGTACACAACTACCTACTCAGTTTTTTTATAGTAAGCCTGTTTTGTTTTACTATTTCATATAATCGTCGTGTACAATGCTTTTATACTTTAAGCTTCTACGGCTTTTTTTGTACGGTTACTTGTAGCCTTATCAATTTATTTTTAGTTTCGAGTTTAACCCCTTTGCTTTAATTTACTTTTTTTTAAACTTCGCTTAAGTTTACCCTTTGGTTTTATTTGTTTTGGTTAAGTATTCAGTTTAGATAGTTTGCTTCAGTTTATCTTAATTTAGTAATTTTATTTTGATTTTCAGTCAATCCTTATTTTACGCTTTAAATTATTATTTATTTTATTAGTTTTACTTAAGTGTTCATTACCTTTGTGTTAAGTTTACTTTTATTAGAGACATGCGGCTACTTTTCGGCTTCAAACAGGGAAAAGTCTATTTTTCGTGGTTTTAGTTTTATCCCTAAAGTTCGCATTTCTTTGCATAGCTGCGCGATTTGTGCAGGTTCACAATTTTCGCAGTTTCGCAATTCACAGATTTCTTGTTTCCTATTGGTTGTATTTATCATTTTAATTATCGCGCGCTTTTTGTTACCAAAAATTAGGCTATTTAAATAATTCTTACCGTTATTTTCTATTTTTATTCACTTTTCTATTTCAATTACTTTTTCTTTCCCCATATATGTCCTACCCATAAGGCTCCTATTAGTACTGTTCTCGAAGGAAAGAATGCTGGGCTTATCTGTTACTGTGGTGTCCCTTACAAGGAATCTTTGTCAGAAACAATATTGGGATCTGGGAGGCTAACCGCGGTTCTGATAGCGTCACGTACTTAGATCATTTTAGACAACCGTAATTCCAGGTGGCACACACCAAAGTAGTCTTATTCACTTACTGACCAAAAATGATTTGGACTATCGAGATAAAATCTTCTGAGAAGGAGGTCCGAGTTAGCGAATGAAACAGCAAAGTGTGGACCTCCTCCTGCATTAGAAAAACTAACCGTCAACTTTAAGAGTGTTTGAGGACTCACTGAGACATATATTCCACGAGGTCATCATAAAAGGGTTTATCCTTCGCTTGCGCATAAATGACCTTCAGATCATCTGGCGTCAACTGGTATTCCTTCTTTGCAGCAATCTTGAAGCCTGCGCCTCTGATGATTTCAAGAAGCTCCTCTTGCAGCATCACAGACTCAGGCTTTATGAGTCCAAATGTTGTTTCAATCGGAAAGAAGTAAAGAAGCATCTTTTGGGTTTCAGGGCCATCGAGGGTCGCGTCGATCCACGTCATATCATCATCCTTCTCTACGTCCGGTATGGAGGAGAACATGGCCCGCAGGGACTGGGGACTGTTCTCTTGGGCGTGCGAGAAAGACTCAGGACCCAGGAGTTCACGCATTGCTTTATAAGCCTCCTGAGGGAGAGAAAGGATAGAAATGGCTAGCTAGCCAGGCAGGCAGGTCAGGTAAATGCACCTTTGAACTCCCTATTGGTAA